TCCGGGGCCGCGCTAGGCCACGTGGAGGCCCTGTCTCGGTGGTCCAGCCCGCCGGCAGCTGCGCGCGCAGCAGCAGGACTGCGTCCTGGCGAATCTAAGCTGCAGGAGTGCCCAGGGGGAAACAGGCGGGCCTGCTCGAGGACCACAGGGCGAGTGGAGTTTCCAGAAGAGCTGGGGGGAAGCGGGAAACGGGGGGGGCAGAGTTTTACTCCAATGAGGACGCATCCATCCCCTGCAGCTCATTCCATTCCGACCCATAGTGACCCTCTTAGATTTCCCAGGCTGTGAATCTGGATCCTGAACCGAAAGTCCTCCTTACGTTCTGTCCGAGATGGGGGAGTGAGGTGGTGGTGCCTGGGAATGTAGGCAAAACCCTCCCAAGACCTTGGACTGTAGCCGAACAAAAACACGTGCTGCTGAGAACTGGGGTGCTTTTTAGGGAAGGAAGGCGGGGGTGTCCTTGAAGCCCACCCCCACCCCACTCCCAGAGGCTCTATCCTACCTCTGATGGCAAGAATGCCCCTGCACCCAGGGCCCTCCCTTGGCCCACCCTGGCTGTCTCCTGGGATGGGAGGTGGAGGTTGGGAACTCTGCCCAGTAGGGGCGCCCATTATCTATTCTCCCTAAGCTCTGGCCCCACCCCCAAGTACGCCTCCCTTCCCTGCCCCTTCAAAGCTGACCTTAACTTGAGCAGCTATCCCGGAGGATAGCTATTCCGGACACTGAGCGTCCCCAGGCTAGCCTGGGCTATAGGGCCTTTCTCTGGGCCACAGAGCTAAGGGAGGGGGGGGCGGTTCCTCTTTCTCCCCCGCCACCCCCTTCGGGTCACAGGAAGGCCAGGCCACCAGCCTGAGCCCCCTGGGAAACAAGGGGATACAGGCCCCCACCCCAACACCCCAAAGGTGTTGCTTCCTGTTCTGCAACAACCCACACATCACACACACTCCCTCCTCCCCCAACACACATACATATACACGTACACATATATCCATCCTCACACACATGCATACACAAAATACATGCACATTTAAACACATAAATGTCACATGTCAGTGCTCACATGCACAACAGACACATACAGATACATGCTAACATGTATGCGTAGTTACATGTGTGTGCTCACACATACACACATGCATGCATGTTCACGTGTGCAAAACAGATACACATGTACATATACATGCAAATATACACAGATGCACACACAACATACCTACACTGAGTTATCTGTGTGTAAATAAACACATGCACACATGTATGCATGAAAATACTTGCATACTTACACACATTTACACACACAAACCGTCCCACATGCATGGACACATACATACATGCTCACACATGGACACACATGCATGCATACTCACACACAAGCACACACAATCGATATGCATGTACACACATACTTACAGATATACACTCACATGTACATATACAACATACCTACATACCTACACATAAATACACATGCATGCTTACACACACAAACACACATAATCTATATACATGTACACACATACATACATATATACACACGTGCATATATAACATGCTACATACTTACACATAAATACACAGGCATGCATGCACACATTAACACCATTCCATACATCTAGATATACACAGACATACATACTCCCACCCACGATCCCAGACTCAGCAGTTGTGGTCAACATGTTGAATATTAGCGACCTGTTTTATACAGCAAGGAAAGCCAGGCGCTAAAAATTACAGGGGGGGGGCCCAAGGTCTGGGCAGAGCAGGGAGGCAGGGGCACGTCCGCACACCCCATGCCTAGGGGCTGAAGCCATAGCCCACGGAGCAGTAATAGTCAGCGTCGTCCTCAGGCTGCACAGGGCTGATGGTCAGCACACAGGTGTTGCCGACCGCGTCCCTGGTGACCGAGAACCGGGCTGGGACATGGTCAGGCCGGTGCTGGTCGTCCTCGGCGCGGTAGTAGAGGAGGTACCGAGGGGCACTGCCCAAGTGCTGCTGGTACCAGGACACACCATAGTCGCTGATGGCAGCATGACTGGGGCTCAGTGTGCAGGAAAGCTGGGCCGTCTGGCCTGGGAAGACCAGCAGTGCGTCCGGCTCAGTTAGGACTGGCTGGGAGGCTACAAGAGAAGCATTAGTTCAAGTTCAGCCTGGACACCTTCCCCTCTGGGAGGGTGACCATGGGCTAGAAGCAGGAGGCTCATTTCTGTATGGCCAGTCCACCCTCTCTGAACCTCGGTTTCACTCTGGGAGTAAGGGCCCCCAAGCCCTGTTACTGCCACATCCCAAGGATCCTCATTTGACTGAGCGCCCAAACTTGAAGAGTGGGACTAGGGGTCCTTAGGGGTCCCCAGCTGTCCACCTCTCGTGACCACAGACCCTTGCCCCTCAGCCCTAGATTGCCCCACAGCCCAGTCAGCCTCAGGCAACTGGCCACTGGGGACCTTCTCAAAAATCGGTCGCCTCTGAGGTCTTCTGAGGAGCCCTGATGGTGTGGTTGGGCTGCTAACCACAAGGCCTGCAGTTCAAACCCACCAGCCGCTCCTCGGGAAAAGGACAAGGCTTTCAATTCCCATAAAAAGCTACAATCTCGGAAACTCACCGAGGCAGTTCTGCCCGACTGTTGAGGGTCACAATGGCGGTGAGTTTTGAGTGACAGATTCTCTGGGTCATATCATCATCACCCAACTCACAGAGTAGAACTGCCCCCAGAGAGTCCTTAAGCCCAGACCTCTTTGTGGAAGCAGACTGCCTCATGGTTCTCCCCTGGAGCAGCTGGGGAGTTTAAACTGTCAACCTTTAGGTTAGCAACCTAACTTGTAATTTACTGTGCCACCCCAAACCCACTCCCCTGCATCCATTCTGACTCCCAGAGACCCTCTTGGGATAATCTCCCTAGGAGATGGCCTCCATCCTTCTCCCATGGCATGGCTGGTTGGTTTCAACTGTCCACCTCTCAGCTAGCAGGCCAGCACTTCCCCCACCCTGCCACCAGGGCTCCTTCCCCTGTGTGGGGCAGGAACCAGCTCCCCCACGAAAGAACTGAGACCCCAAAGGGTCAGAGCCCATTAAGAGTCTCAAAACCTGTTCATTCACAAGTGGGGAACCTGAGGCCCCCAAACAGACCAGGTCTGAGTCACTTGCTTCCTTGCAAGGGTTCTCTGAAGGCACTACTATGCATCACCCCACCCCCATGGCACCCCGGCACACACACCCAGGTGACCCTGGTCCCTTAGTGCTTACCTGCCAGGAGCCACCCAGTGAGGAGAGCCAGACACCAGGCAGCCATGGGCAGGAGGCAAGGGGCAGGCAGGCAGTGATCTGCTAGGCCAGCTCCAGGTGCCTTGGGGCCCTGCTGGGTGGCTGCTGGACCACAACAGAGCATGCAAATCTGCCCACTGGGGCGGGACAAAGTTGCCCTCCCAAATCTCAAGACTCCTGCCTCAAAGGGCCTTCCACATATGTTGTTACAGCCGGGACTTGGGATTTGCTTCTGATGGCCATGTAGCTTCATACCAGGAGCTCTGGTAGCATAGTGGGTCACA